TTAATGCAATTATACTTTTGATATCTTTTTTATTCTTACAAGTTGCATAACATTTATATATTTAATATTTATATGTTTTAATACTTAATATATTATTGGATATATTTTTGTATGGTATTTGACTATTTGCAGGTAATTCTTCATATATATATATATATAAAAATTTGTAGTTATCACAAAAAGGTTTGCTTTTTGCATTGTAGGAAAACGAAATTTGACCAGGGATATACTATTTGAAGGCTCGTAAGTATATTACTTCTTGTATAGACGCGAAAAATTCTGAAGATTTAATCTTCAATATCTAATTACCTATTTCAATATAAATTATTAAGTAATTAAAATAACAATTTGAACTAAAATCATTACATTTTTTATACATAAATTACTCGAAGAGATCAGTGAACCAAAAAGCTGTTATTTGTCAATTTAAATCACAATTTCTTTATCGAATGCAATACTGATCACAATAAATGATAAAATTTTATTACAAAATACTATTACAAAACAATTTTATTATGAAAAATATATATTTAATTATTTACATAGATTTTATTAAGAAATTTTATAAAGATATATCTTATATGTATATAAAATTCTCGTGTAACAGTGTTAGATAGAGAACTCCTCGGAAACGGCTGGACCGATTTTGATGAAATGTGAGCATATTGAATAGGTGTGACAATCGGCCAACATCTATTTTTCATACCACTAAGTCATAAGGTTTTTTCATTCTTATTTATTTTTTGTAGGACTAATTTTTTTGTTATTATTTTCTTATAATGTAGCATTACAAATACATACAACCCAGAATTTTTACTTTTTATCACCAACCCCTATTTTTATATAGCAAAACATTTGCCGGGTCAGCTAGTATAATTTATTAGCAGATTTTTAAATGACAATACGAAATCACTAACATATCGCAAGCCGCCCTTGAGAAGTTACGTGGCCGTTTCAAAAGTGATTGCGCAATGTTTTACGTAATCTGTGCTATTTGCAATCTGTATTCATCTATTGGACATTGGCAGCTGTCAGACGTAATTGTGACAGATACCGTGAAATGTCACTTTGACAGTTGTATAGAGAAATTTGAATTTAACAGTGTTTTATGTTGAGCTGGAATTATAAGTCGTAAAGTATTGTTTTTATTGTAATAGTTATGTTTGTTTGATATTAAATATTTTTTTATATATATGTATATAATATAAATTAAAAGTAACTTTTATTTTCATATGTAAAGAGTTTAGAGTCTTTTAATAAGGTTTAAGACAGTAAATTCAATTAATATTTCAATCAAATATTTTTGTAATTAAACAAAATTAAGCAACAACAATTCGGCTAAAAGTTAATTATTTTATAAATTTTTCGCCTCCAAATTTTTTATTCACGATGGAAGAGTTTTTTCAACGAAACTGGTATTATGCTTACGTAATATTTACATAACTCATTCTATTTCTAATCTGTATTGATCTATTGACAATTGCTAACTGTCAACTAATTTTACTATTACTGACCTGTCATTTTGACAGCTGACAGGACTTTCCGAAGCAAAAGTTTAAAGACTATAATCCAAATTATACAGTAAAAAGTTTTTATTAAATTGACAGACTTCTTGGTCAGAATTTAAGATATATTTATATATTTTTCTCGTCTTAATAATGATTTGAAAGAACATTAGATTTCCATTTACTTATTTTATTACTAAACACATTCGTATAAATGAAATCTTTATAATAAAAATGAAAGTATGCGAATTAATATATCATGTACACAATATGTGTCTTTGTTCTGTTACGAGATTATTAAGGAACTGTTTTTTTTAGATATTTTCACGAATTGATTGTTCAAACTACTAACTATTTGCAAGTTCTTTTAATATTATTCTTCCTAGAATTTATATTTTCAAAAGGTTTTCAAACTAAAACAAAAACATAAAGTGATTAAGACAATTGAAATATTTTAACCAACATCATAAAAGGTTTGACTGCAGTTAAAAGAGTGATAATCCCTTAAAAACCATATCTACATATTGAAATCTGTTAAGATCTTTAAATCTGTCAAGATTTCATATATTATGTAATATAATACTCTAAATATTGGATGCAATGAAAAAGATTTAATTCCATATATTGAAACTAGATGTCGCTTTCAAAGAAACGGCCTTCAACAGTGAAAGTTAGCCGCGCGACCAGAATACGCTGACCCCTTAACAGATTAACTTTATTCTGAATAAAAGTTAACATAAACTGGTCGTATTATTTTGTGGCAATGATATAATAGTATATTTATATAATTAAATTAGGTACATCTGATATTCGGTTGGTTAGTATATAAAAACTTTTTACGTAATTTTTTAAGCAAAAATGTTTAAAATTTCGTATCAAAATTATAATAATTATGCTTATAGTAAGTACATATATATAATGTCTGAAATATTCTTACATATATCTGCTGGTAAGTTGCAAATGTCATATAATGTACACACGGCAACACACAACTGACACTAATAATGTATTAATAATCACAATTTATTTCAACACGAGTGCACGACTGTTCTGTCTAAACGTCTGCCATTGACTGGCTGCACGAACCAAGCTATCGCTCGCTTCAATTAAGTTAGATGCACACTGAGAATTAATAAAAAAATAACTCGAAAAAACTTATTTTTTTAACCATAATTATGTTCAATTGTATCAATGTTTTTATTATTTTATTAAATAAATACAACAAAAGTTATATCAATACATTTATTGTTATTTTTTTATTCAAAAATTATAATTCCTGTCGAGGTAATCAAAATTTAGTACAGCTTTTGTAATTAATGAAACATTTAGTGAATATAATAAATATAGTGTTTTTAAATATAAATGATAAGTTTAAAATTTAACTAATACAAGGTGAAACTACTTATATAAAATCTTTCCTCCGTATGGAAAAATAAATAAGGTCAAAGGTGAAAAATATGTTTTCTTTTGCGTTTCTCAGCAAAACGGTAAGTTTTATCATAAAAGCATATTAAACAAAAATATAGATCATAAGATTATCTGTAAAAAATGTATAAACACTGTTTTTACTATGAGCCACTGTTTTCGAGATATAACGATTCAAAAACTATAAAGTTGTTAATCGTTACAATATACACGTTTCCATGCCACCATGTCATAAATGATTGAGTATTCAAATTTTATTTATTACTAGCTTTTGTCCGCCACTTCGTACGCCTTAATTTCGGAATTAGTAACATATGCCTAGCTGACCGAGCGAACTCAATTTCTCGCTAGAGGGCGTAAATAACCATACACTGGAATTTATTAGGCTTTTTTCCTGTTTCGATCGCACAGAATTAAATACCCTATGTCCGTCTCCTTGTTCTAATCTATCTCTCCACCAATTGTCAACCATATCCCTACAGTCGTTCTTGAGTTATAAATAGTGTAACTAACACGACTTCCTTTTATATATAGAAGATTATATTTCGAACGATCTCAACAAATTTCAGATGGTAATAAATGTATGTCTTATTTATAGGCAGACCCTGGCTAAAGCTGGGAAATTGCCAGGAAGAAGAAGAAGTATGACTTATTTGTGTTGGCTCCAGTGTGTACACAGCCTTATTTAATAACGCTTCAAACACTTCTCATTTTGCAAACACAATACTTACGTCCTGTTATTTACGACTTTAGATTTCATAATGATTTTAGACAATATATAAAAAGGTTAAATTATTATTTATATAACATAAATATTGCAAAAAGTTTATCAGAATAAGCAATACTAAATAATTTTACGCTTGCTTATATTTGCTCTTATTTGTATAAATATAAAAAAAAATATGTTTTTAATAGAATTACACATATTTCTTTAAAAAGACATATATAAAGTTTCAGATTTATAATTATATAAATACCAAGTATAATTTAAGTTACTGTCATAGTTTTTGAGCTATTGGTTCACAACAAGGTAAAAAAATAACAAAATACTTTAATAAAATTGTCATAAAAACATGAATTTATAATCAACAACCTCATTCAAGAGTATTAAAAAATTTCAATACATTTCTTTGCATCGTTCTTTTATATTATTTCTTAATATTTTAACGTTTATAATCTATATGCAATAATTTCGTATAAATGAAGAATTAATAGAATTACTGACTTATCAAAATCCATCCATAATTACTTGAGATATTATAAAATTGCCAACTACCCACCTTTTAACTAATTATTAATTTTCTCGTTAAATTGAAGTAACATTTCTGCTGTACTGTTTTTAATGCTTTTTATAAAAAACGATAGATATATATTATGAATAAAGTTATACTTTTTATATTAAATTAAATATTATTTTGGTATTTTATGTATGTAACTAAAAGGAGGTAGAGGTTACATAATATAATTGTTTAATAAAAAGGCAACACAGTACGAAATATTATTTATTAAAAAAAAGTATAAAATCTACATTCATCTCTACAGTGGTAACTCAAATATCACGTGGTTAAAAAAAATTAAGATAATAACAAATTTCTTATGGCAAGAAATATGGCTTTCAAAGTATATTTCATTATGCAATAGTTTAAACACTTTTGTTTTGTGTAAATACTTAAAAAAAATATTTAAAGGAAATTTTCTGAGAAAAATACATAAATAAGTCGATTTTAATTATGAACATTTTTAAATACATGTCCCATCATTAATTTTGTGTTTTCTTTTATTTCTATTTTCTGTCACTAAACTTAAGTTGAAATTGAACATAGTCTGGCCTTCACTACTTGTACGTAGCTAATTTTAAATAACTTGTTTTATAAGTAACGCCTGATTTTTTTAAAGAGCAATATCACATTAATGGTTTTTTGCTTTAAGAATTTATATACTCAGTTCTCCGTTGATTTTGAGAAAAATATTTGTCTGTGAAAACAAATACATTAAATTTTATTGTTTTTTCATTAATTGAAGGCCAATATCTTTCATAAAACTTAAATTAAAGACATCTTTTATCTATTTCTATCCCGCTATGTAGTTGCCAGCTTCGTCTTTGTATAAGTCTTCATTGATTGCGTAAAACGCGGGTGAACTGGGACAGTCGACCTGGAATAAGATCATTGTCGTAAAAAACAATAACTAATTGCGATATATATGTAAAATTAATTAATCTTCATCATCCTATCAGAGCCCACTGCTGAGCTGCCTCTTCTCACATGGAGAAGATTTGAGCATTAATCACCACGCTTGCTCAAGACGGGTTGGTGATTTCAAAATAATTTGAAGTTATAAGTCCAGGTTTCCTCACGATATTTTCCTTCATCTACCAGTGGTGTCTAAATACTCGTATAAAGTACATATGACTTGGAAAAATCACATTAGTACTTGCCAGGTTTCGAAACCGCGCCCTCCTTCACAAGAGGCGGGCCTTTAACCACTAGGAAACCATGATTTCAATGTATAAAATTAATACTAATTTAAATTACCTTGAAGAACCAATCACAAACTCTGCTCTGCTGATTGAAGACGGTACCTGGAGCACAGATGAAGGAGTACTTGAGATTACCACCGATGCTGGGTACACACCAATGCCAGACCTGATGAAAAAGTACCACATTAACACCAATATACCAAGCATTGCATTCCATGTAAGATATGAAGAGTTTAGAAGACCAACAGATTCATCCACATCAAGTTTTTAGGTTTAGAGAAGTTTATTTCCAAAAAGAACAAAGTTCAAAATAAACAGTAGTGATATTAAATAAGATCAGTAAAATCATCTAATATATGGGTTATTATTTTGTTTTAAATATATTTAGAGATTTTGAATTGACAACACTTGGAGGAAGAGTTATACATCTGTGCTCCTTCAAATGAAATAATTTTAATACCGTACTTGGTTAGTTTCTACATGACTACCAAAACGACAGATTCCTTAGCATATTGTCCTATTCTTAAGCAAATATTGGACTTGACAAAAAGTTGATGGAATGATGGCTTAACCTATGTTATCCAATTTTATTTTTATTGCAATCATTATGTTTGAATGAAGAGTATTGTTCATGTTGCTTATTGACATTTAGTTGATATTATGTAGATACTAATAGACTACTTAATTTTGTAGTAAAATACGCCATAAATAACAATTTCTATGGAAGAATCAGATTCAAATGAAAATAATATTCGGATTACTACGCTTTTTTCATTATTTTTTGAACTACATACTCCCGACGTTTTGTTTAATTTGCAGCAACCGTGATCACATTAATAAAATAAAGCGTAGTAATCCGAAAATATTAAATTAATTTAAATGAATACTATCGAAAGTCATTCTCATTAAGACTCAGGGTAATTGGCATAAAATCCAGGAACATTCCGCTAAAATCCCTACTAATATTATAAATGCGAAAGTAACTCTGTCTGTCTGTATGTTACGCTTTCACGCCTAAACCACTGAACTGAATTTAATGAAATTTGGTACAGAGATAGAGTTGACCTTGAGAAAGAACATAGGATAGTTTTTATCCCAGACTTTTGAAAGGTTTTCTTGGAAACGCGATATAAACGAACTCCACGCGGGCGAAGTTATATTACTACGGCTGGTCTCCATAAGTTGAGTATACCTGGCACATAGTCTCCGTGTCAGCGTAATATCCAGGTATTTTATCATCGCAGGTGAAGGACAGACCCTGGGGAACTTCCTCATATGCTGGATAATCTTCACCAGGAATGTATCCATCTAAAGACTGGCGGTAAAATTTTTAATTAGTACATGTTAAGGTAGAAGCTTCTAGAATTCTTGTAACGAAGAAATATATAGAATGTTCTAGAAAACAGAATGTAGTATTTATTGAAAGGCTTGTATTTCATTTTAGGTGTCTATGTTTGGAAGTTTATAGAAATAAATTAAATATTAATATCTGTTTTGTAATATTATAAATCGCTTTGAATAAACTTTCGCGAATTTTCACACATTACATGTAACAACTAAATGTAATTTCTTTTAAGTTTTGTTTCTGTCTGTCCGTTTGCTTCGCCTCATCTCAAAAACGGCTGGATCAATTTTGATTAGACTTTGAATGTCATATAGTTGATTTAATAATTAAAAAAATAGTCACAAGCAACTTCACGAGCTCAGCTTCTTTTAATATACAGGTTTCTTTAAAAATACTCAAATTTTTCCTTCAATTCATACTTATTTAAATTACGAAATTATTTAATTCAAATTCAGCAAATTATTATACAGATGCAATTCTCACAAGAATAGTTCCAATTAAAACTTAACAAAGTAAATAAAACAATTAACTCATAATTAACAAGACATAATGACATATAATGAATATAAATGTTGTCATTATAACAGATTAATTCTCAATAAAAAATAATGATATATACGTAACATGAGGAAATGTTGATGTCAAGTAACTAGCTGTGGTTTGATATTTAAGGAAGTTTTAATATATTTATTATAATGATTTTAGTGCGTAATAGTAGTTTAAAAGTTTAAATAAAACGTACTAATTTTCATATAAAAATTTAACAACCTTTAACGCCTATGACATTAATTAGAGCAACAAAAAATTACACAAAAAGTGATTTATGTTAATGATGTCAGGCGTTACTTAACCTGCTTAATATATGCACAGATTTTTAATAGAAACTGCTTTTTTAAATATTATATCAATATGAAACTTCTTATTCCACTTCTAGTAAGGTTGCGTTAAATATTTAACGCTGGGATATTAAAAAGAGACAGAACGAGAGAGAATGTGTATCGCTCGAACGCATGCAATCAATAGTGACTTGTAAGAAATGTTAATAAAGTTTGTTTTAAAGAAACACTAAAGATTCCTTAAAAATCGATTTCTACTCAATCCTCTTTCATTCCAAAATTACGAAGTATCACTTCTTCTACGCTCAATAATTTTTTGTTTACTTTAGTAACTTCTCAGTTAAAAACTGCTTATATTCTTAATGAAAAAGGGGTTAATTAGTATCAAATATGATAATTATTTTAGTATATACTCACAGCCATCGAATTGTCGATGATGTAAAACAAAATCGCTATAATCCCAGCACAGCAGAACCTTATACATATCTTTGATTCTGTCATTGTTTAAATATATCTGTAACAAGGAAAATATATATACAAAACAGGTAAATTAATAATATATATTAGTATTATCTTTAAAAAATCAAATACTTAGTTAAAGTATTCGGTGATTCTACCTTTTTTTGATGTTAGTACAGTTAATGTGTAATTAAAATATTACAGTACTGGTCGCAATGAATTAGTGTGATGAACTAGATGAAAACAATGACATAACGAGAATTCTACCAAGGTTAATGATACACAAATGTGTACAAAACCATCCTAACACACACACAAACATATACATATGTATATAGTTTCATTTAAATGAAACTAATATAAGGGAAGTATCTCTACAACCTACTAAATAACTTAGGCTTGTCCAGAACTCACATTAATACATTCTTGGAACGTACATCAAAGTCAGCCCTGGTAGGTTCTTTTCAAATTTGGTTAGGTAGAGAGAGGAGCTTGAACAGTGGAGGTGAGCGTTTAACGCGTTAGATAGGTGTCCCTTAAACCTACACCTGGGTCACAAGTCCCAATCACTGTTGAAGCTCCTCTCACTACAACGATGGACCCGACACACGCATATGAATACATGGAATGATGAGAGGTTTCGTTTCGGATATACTACGCGTGCTTTATTGTAAAAAACTACATACTCCCGAAATTTGCGCTACTTTTCAGCAAAAGATCACGGGCAGACGAGATGTACTTTCTTGTAATTAAATATCAAAAGTATGTATAATAAAATAACTCCAATACCATTCTCTTTTAGATTGGAATAAGCGAAGAAAATCTTAAATTAAATGAGATTCTACCAAAAGGTTAACCTTATTATATCAATTATTGTTTGTGTATTTCAATGGAACATTATCATCTACCTGGCAATTTCCCAGCTTTAGCCAGGGTCTGCCTAAAATATGTAAATGGTTTTTGCTAATTGTTTTTATGACCGGCTTGAGTGACATCATCCCTCTTTTGGGAATAAGGCCTCGGCCTCGAATCTCGCGGGTAGCGGGGCGGCAGCGGCGGCGGCACGGAAACGCATACTATTCTCCAAACTAGAGGGGAGGGGGCACGGAGAAATGTATGCGTTTTCGTGCCGCCGCCGCTGCCGCCCCGCTACCCGCGAGATTCGAGGCCGAGGCCTAAATGTTCATTATATTAAGTTAAACATAATTTTTCGCAAAATTTAATTATTCACACATTACGTCAGATATTCAATGACAGAATTTCATATGCTTTGTAATTATAGTTTTTTTTTTTATCGTACGCAATGAGATATAATCACAATGAGATATTGTGTCTGCTAATTTGTCTAGAACTGAGTAACAAATGTTATGAAATGTGACTTTTTTGTTTCATGAAAATTATGAGATAAATCCACCTAGTGGCTAGACCTTTTATAAAAATATCTTGACGTAGTGAAGGTACAGAGTCAGTGGTGGCCCAGTTAGAGGGTGCGGGTTCGATCCTGGCAAATACCAATGTGATTTTTCCGAGTCATATGTACTTTCTAAGACTATTTAGACATCACTGATTAATGCATTCCCAAAGAGGCTTGATGTCAGGCAGGCGGCCGGTCGTAAAAACAATTAGCCAACACTATTCACAACATGTAAGGCAGACCCTGGCTAAAGCTGGGAAATTGCCAGATAGTAGAAGAAGATTAAAGGTACAGAGTTTGATTCATTTTGCAGTGCATATCGTTAGGAATTTATCAGAATAATTTCGCATAAATAGTGCTTGTGATTACTGCCAATACAACCTTTAAAATTTAATTTATACTTTTAAGTTATTTGAAAGTCGTGATTGCCTGCAGGGTAAAAGTCCGCCTATCGTGCATGAGTACGCGGGTTCGAGGCCTGGAAAGTACCAATGTGATTTTTCCGAGTCATATGTACTTTCTAAGAGTATTTAGACATTACTGACAGTTGAAGGAAAACATCGTGAGGAAACATGGACTTAATTTCAAATTATAAGTTTGAAATCACTATACGTCTTCAGCGAGCGTGGTGATTAATGCTCAAACCTTCTCCATGTGATAAGAGGCATTTACTCAGCAGTGGGCTCTGATAGGATGATGATGATTATATGTATGAATGGCCAGTAAAATATTAATATTAAATAGAGCGTGTAACTAAGAGAGGTTTTTATTCGTGAAAACAATCAACTCTTAATCAACATAAGATCAATTAATTTCATGCGTGTAGAAAAATCATTTTTTTATTATTATAATATTCGTTGGACTCTGAAAATTATATAATAAATGTATATACATATAATAATTAATATATATACCCAGATGTAGGTTAAAGGGACCCCTATGTAACGCGTTAAACGCTCACCTCCACCGTCCAAGCTCCTCTCTTTGCCTAACCAAATTTGAAACGAACCTACTAAGGCTGCCTTTGTAAAATAAAAAAATATATACATGCTATAAAATAAGTTGCCTTGGAAAAAGTAGAAGTATAAATTAATAGAAGACTATTAATATATTTAAAACATAACAATATACAATAAAAAATGGCGTAGCGTCACTGTCTTTTAACGCTTCTTTTAAAACCAATTTTAACATGACTGTTATAGTTAAAAATTACAAACACCGTGCGAAATTGATAGCATCTCCCAACAATGGTAGCAATTAACCTCTTTTTTATGGTAATTAGGTTAAAAATTGTTATATTACTATTTTTCTCGCCGCTATATGCAATTATTCGTTCACATGTTTTACGATGTATTTTGTAATATTAAGACTTGTGTCAATGTAGCTTTCGTAGTTAAAGCCTTTTTAGTAAACCAGGTTTTTTGGGAAGATTGTAATTAAACTACTGCTTTTAATGATATTTTTGCCATATAACGGCTTACATTATTTTCTATTTTTTGGTTCAAAACACTTCTATTCTTAGTCATTAAATAGTCAATTGAAAACCGACAGTTTAAAAGTTTTTTAACTTCTACTAAGACGTGTTCAATTATATTTGTCATTTAATGAATGTTATTTATGTTATGTTCTTATTTAATAATGACATTATTAAATAAGTTTTATCTCGATTGATACAGTCAAAAGCTAGGAGTTAATAAAATAATTATATAAATATAATGTTATATGGTTTTTAAGTAACAGATCGAACTAAAGGTATGTAGTTTAACATTCTAGACTTTACAGGTTTTTATAAATTTTTGCCTTGATTTATTTATCGTAGTCTTGTAATTAATAATATAAACCGATTTTATTAAAACTTAGTTTAGGTATTTTATATGTTATATGTTATATATAAAAAAATAATATATGGAAAAAAATGTACATGACGTGTTATTTTTCATGAGCTTCCATTGTTATTTTTTGCCCTTATATTCGGAGTGAATTTGTTTTTTACACATATGCAATATTAAAATAGGAAATAACACAGAAAATATTGTAGTATTATTATATATATTTTATGAATTAGGTAACATTTTTACACGTTTTTTGTTTATCCTGGGTGACATGACTTTTGTTCTATGTTTGGTATAGGCTAATGGGAAAATAGTGCGTTAGGTTAACTTGACATTAATGTAGCAATGTAATTGACATAGAAACTTTCAACATAATTATTCTCCATGTTATAAGTGGCTATTGTTTTTACAAGTTCAATTTTCTTTTTATTACAGCCCAAAGTTACATCAGAATCGATCTTTCTTGTAAGATAAGATAGAAGTTAGGACATTTAAAATAGATTTAACATAAAGTACGCTTACTAAGACGTTTTCATCGACAAAGTAAATAAATAGTTTATTATTTACTACTTACATTCATACTTTCTGAAATAGGGATTAACAAAAAATTACTGTGTTGAGATTAATTTAATAATCAGCTTAGATTAGTATCAGTTTGCATGTTTAAACCAAATAGTTGTATGTACATAATATCTTTTCGCCCGCAGCTTCGCCCGCGTGGAGTTCAGTTTTATCGCGTTTCCAAGAGAACCTTTCAAAACTCTGGAATAAAAACTATCCTATGTTCTTTCTCAAGGTCAACTCTACGTCTGTACCATTTCATTTTCAATTTCATTAAAATCTGTTCAGTGTATTCACGGTATTTCTACTTTGTTTTTGTAATATTCTATCGATATTTATCTCCCTTATGGCCTCTCAAAGTTCCTTACAATTAAAATAACAAGACCAACTGACAGACATTCAAATCTCATCTGTCCGTGATCACGGTTGCTGGAAAGTAGCTGAATCGTCGGAAGTTTCAAGATTAAAATATTTAAAAAACGCGTAGTAAAACCGAAAATATTCGTTTTATTTCATTGAATACTCGCGAAAGAATTAGATATATTACGTGATTAGTTTCAATATAAGATTTTACTTCGGATTCTCCCGTTCTCTCCAACAATGCAGTTCCAATAAATATCCCACGCGCGTAGGAAATAATGCAATACACTTTTTATCACTTCCACACGCGTTTGTCAGACTTTTTGTTTGTGATTTATCAATGGTTTTCTTAATTACTATTTGATTATGTCGCGGAAAAATCATTGCTTACTTTATAACATAGTGTTTTGGGTTCTTTCCATGAGTTTTTGTATAAACCTCATAAGAATGCTAGATATAATATACACATTGTGCATCCTAAAGAACTTTAAAATGACTAAACTGGTATGACATAGTTATTTGGACCAATAGCTCGGCATAACTTCCGATGAAGAGCTCAAAGAATTTGTTTTTCTACTAAGGATACAATGTTGCGTTAACTTATTTCACTTGCGTTAATTGGGAAACCGTTGCGTTAAATAATTTTATAATTATTAATAATTACAGCTAATAACTATATTGGATATGTGAGGTAATTTAAATCATTGTTTAAAAAGTATATAATATGAATAAGCTTATTATATTGATTACGGACCCAAAGGACTTTCGATTGAAGGTATATTACTCGGAAGATAACTTGTCTTATGTAAGAAAAAGTATTGTTGGAATAAGTAAACTAGAAAAGCGTGTAACCTCAATTAAAACATACGAAAATT